AAAATACAGAAAAAAACTGTAATCTTGCAAAATGTTATTACAATATAAAATAATGTTTTCTATTTAAAATATAATGTATTTCTGTGATGTGCAGCTGTATTTTCAGCATCATTCCTCCAGTCTTCAGTGTCACATGATCTTCAGAAATCATTCTAATATGCTGATTTATGATCAGTGTTGAACCTGTTGCTGCTTCATGTTTCTTTGGAACCCGTGATACTTTTTTCAGGATTCTTTGATGAATTACTGTTTTTTTCTGTATTTTTGATCAAATAAATGCAGCCTTGATGAGCAGAAGAGACTTCTTTAAAAACATTACTAGTCTTACTCCCCAGCAAGCAATAGCCGTCATTTCACCGTCTCGGTTAATCATGTTCGCAGTGTCAATAATATCTACAAAGATATAAGTGTCATTCATGACATGCTCTATACGTAGCGAAACCGAGGCAATCTGTGGTCTAATTTTAACGGCTTGGCTATAGCCCTATAGCAGTAACCAGACCAGAGATGAGCAGAGCCAAAATAGCCTTAAAGTAAATGCAGCCTTGATGAGCAGAAGAGACTTCTTTAAAAACATTACTAGTCTTACTCCCCAGCAAGCAATAGCCGTCATTTCACCGTCTCGGTTAATTATAGTCCAAATAAATGCAGCCTTGATGAGCAGAAGAGACTTCTTTAAAAACATTACTAGTCTTACTCCCCAGCAAGCAATAGCCGTCATTTCACCGTCTCGGTTAATCATGTTCGCAGTGTCAATAATATCTACAAAGATATAAGTGTCATTCATGACATGCTCTATACGTAGCGAAACCGAGGCAATCTGTGGTCTAATTTTAACGGCTTGGCTATAGCCCTATAGCAGTAACCAGACCAGAGATGAGCAGAGCCAAAATAGCCTTAAAGTTGTTTACATGTCATTTTCGCCCACGCAGCTTCTTATCAAATGCAAGTAAACGTTTGAAACATTTAGGCTAAATTAGCATTATTTTATTGAATTATTTTACAGCATTATTAAATATAGCATTATTTATTATGCCAAAAATAATGCTAATTTAGCCTAAATGTTTCAAACGTTTACTTGCATTTGATAATATGATGTCATGCATCCCACAAGCTGTTAAATTCATACACATTATATGATATTATTGATATTCGACTCTTTCCCCAGCAAGCAAGTTTCAAAAAGACGTCTAATAGCCGTCCAAACACAGCCCAGACGTCTAGGCTAAAACAAGGCTAAATTTGGGCTGTCAGTGAAAATTGAATAGACGTCTAACCATAGCCCAAGAATAGACTAGTCATCAAATAGAGCGCTAATGAATGCATATAACTTTTGAGCGGTAGTGTATGTATATATAGCTCGTATTATTAATATATCAAAGTGCAATAGTCAGTCACTGAGGGGTGCATTTTCCTCATTTAATTTTAAAAAATCTATTTAAGACAACCTGCTTCTTGTATCAAGAAGCATATCCTTTACAACTGAAATGTGCAAACGATAAAGATGCATGAATATACCTGGTTTTCGGACGATCAGCTGAATTCCCCGTCCTCGAGCTTCTTCACCGAAGAAAGCGTCTGTCTGCAGATCTCGGGGATGTCGTGCGCATTTATAGACACAACTGATGCAGCATTCTCACGTTTACCGGATGACGCCGCCTTACCGGAATCATTACTCCAGACTGATCTGTCCCGGTATCTGCGAGGCTTTTGGGAAGAATATAAAACGCCTCCATGGCCAAAGTTCACAGGCACATTACAGGTCAAAGAACAGCATGTTCTAAACTCATGCAACAGAATCTCCGCTTGGAGATAATCACCTGTATCATTCAAGACACATTGTGTAGGAATCCTGAAAGTGCGAGTTTATGTTTCGCATTTATATTTATACGCATTAACATGAGACCGGGCTCATTGCAATAATGTAAGCATCATTAATTGTGCTTAATAAAAAGCTCCGAAATAAAAATTTAGGAGCACCTTTTGATCAATGACAAAAATCAACCTTCCCATCATGAGGCCATATGTGACTCCTTACAGTGATTCGCAGGGGCTCCTCTCTAATGGCATTTTGTTCTAACATTATTAAATGTGTCAAGTTAACAATCAAATAAAATCAGTGTGTCAACAAAATTCATCTTTGCACTACAGAGGTGCACAGAAGAACATAAAAATGGCATTTTGACATTTACAGACTGTTTAATGAAGCTCAGAGGTGGCATGATTGCATTTGAGATTAATATTTTAAATACACATTTTTGAATATAGAAATACCAAATGATTTGAAGAACTAAAAATGGAACTAAAAAAGCTAGTAGGTGGAAGAAAGTCACTGTCTTTGTCACTGAATCAGTTCGTTCAAATGGCTGATTCACTCAGGAACGGTGCTGACTCAATAGATTTGTTCAGAAACGCTGAGCCATTCATTGCGTAATTTTTGTCACACTGAACAACAATGACTGTATTTGCATTATTGTAAAGGGTAGGTTTAGGGTTGGGTGGGTGTAGACATTGATGACAGCAGTATGATCAGATGACCAGACAACAGTATTCATAAAATGTAAGTCACTTAATATTAACCTGTTTATTGAACTATAAAATCACTCACTCAACACTCATCTCACAAACATCCTTTATAATCAATGAATCTCAGCGTGTCATAGATACAAATATCCCGCTATAATATACATCACTAGGTTTGTTTGTGGAACTTGGGTTGCCTATTGAATGGGTAAAATATATAAATCTCTTTAATTAAAAAACACTAGGCTAACCAGTTTAAAGTGGAACTTTGTCACCTCATGTCTACTTAATAAACTGCAACCCGTCTCAACTGCAGCATCCTTTATGAACCCTATTGTTCTCTATGCGTACAGGACAATTACATTTATCTAATGCACTGATGCACATCTTTACAGATGGCGTAAAAAGTGTCCAAATAATTTATATAGAACTGAGGAGGGAAAAATTAAGACATAGGGATTTCCAGAGCTTAGAAACATTCCTGAAACATCATCTAAAACAGGCAAAAGAAAAAAATCAGATAAAACATCTCTTTCATTAGGCACATTTTTGCTTTCACAGTAGTCCAATAAAAGTTTCAGTTCATCAGAAGTGAGTGTTTTTTTCCATTTTTCTAATAAATGAAAAACAAATCGTCTTGACTTAATCTTCAGACTCGTAGCAACTCTTTCCACATTCTCAAAAACTGGTCCAGACAAATTAACTAGACTCCCCATTGTGCATATTTTGGAAGCCACAAGTGTTTCAGTGAGTCCAGGAATTGTACAGTCATTTTGTGCTAAATCAAAGCGTGCTCCATATATTAGTGGTTCTTCAAGGAGCCAGTGAAGAGATTTAAAATGTCCTTCTCTTTGTACTTTGAACATGTTCCACACTTTAAAAACATTCCGATAAAAAATAGGCATTCCATTGATGTTCAGTTTTGACAAGTCCATAAAAAAAAGATTTCTGTCCAATTTCAAATTTCCAAGATTTTGTAGTATTTTACATGCAACTACTTTCCAGCTTGAAGTTATTGAACCACTAAGAAGTCGTTGCAAAAATTGTAAACGGAAAGCTGCTGTTCTACTTTGCAGATGTACCAACCCTTGTCCTCCTTCTTCTTTGGGTAAAAACAAAATACTCTGGGGAACCCAATGTAACTTGTCCCAAAAAAAATCAACTAAAATCGCTTGAACCTCTGCTAACAAACGCAGTGGAGGATCTATACAGGTTAATTTATGCCATAAAGAGGAAGCTATTAGATTATTTATAACTAAGGTCCGACCTCTATATGACATGCTTGGGATTAACCATTTCCATTTCTCAAGTCGACCTTTAACTTTTTCAATAATTCCTTCCCAATTTTTTTGTACAGTTGTTTCATCTCCTACAAATACTCCCAGATATTTAAAACCTCCTTTTTTCCATACTAAACCAGGAGGAAGGGAAAAACACCCTCTTTTCCAATTTCCTATTTGTAGCGCTTCACTCTTTTCCAAATTAATTTTAGCAGAAGACAGTTTTTTAAAATCATCCAGTACACTCATTAAAACTGTAACATCACTCTGTTGGCTAACAAACACTAAAACATCATCAGCATATGCAGAGAGACTTATACTCTTTCCGAACATTGGCACATTAAAACCTTGTACATTTTTTCTTAATTGTTCTAAAAAAGGTTCAATTGCTAACGAATATAACATACCAGAGAGCGGGCATCCCTGCCTCACACCTCTAAAAACTTTAAAAGGAGTGCATAAGCCACCATTAATTTTGAGTATGCTCTCAACATCACTGTATAAAACTTTAATTTTATCTATAAAACTTTTACTAAAACCAAAAGCTTTTAACGTTTCCCATAGGTACATATGTTCAACTCTGTCGAATGCTTTTTCTTGGTCTAGCGAAATCAATCCAATGTCACTATTTGATAACCTAGAGACATCATAGATATTCTAATCCCTTATTTTATTTTTATTTCTAGTTTATATACTTACATACATTAGTAATTCATTTTGCACTACATGCTTAATACTTTTTATATATTATTATTATTACTATTATTATTATTTTTTTCTTTCTGTTAATACATATGTGTACTATTTGTAAGCAGTCCAGCTGTAATTGCTTTGGCAATACAAATGTATAATTTTTGTCATGCCAATAAAGCACTCTTAAATTGAAATTGAAAATTGAGAGAGAGAGAGAGAGAGAGATCAAAAGCACAGCATGATCAGTCAGTCAGTGCAGAGCAGCAGGAATGAACTGAAGTCTAGAAAAGAAAACCGGTTTGAAACGGCCTGCAATCATTCACTGACACACTGTGATTTAACAAAAGCCATTTTCGCAACAAACAGCTGAGACATGGGATTCAGTAGCATGAGGAAGCACTGTGCATGCTGTGCTATAGAGCAATGCATAATCCAGAAGAAGAAACAGTCAGTGTAGAAAACGAAGCTGGGACGGCTCAGGCCAGAAACTGGCTTTGCATAAAGAAGCAGAAAGGCTGGCCCGTAATCATCACAGAACCTCGTTCTCCTCCTTACTCCACTCTCACATGTTTGCTACGAATGGGAATTTACTACAACAGCAATTTAATACTGTCAGCTTCCAGAAGAGCTAAAGACGTGCTAAAACATTAGTCACATTTAAATCTAGACTCAAAACTCATGTTTAGCTGGGCATTTACTGAATGAGCTGATTGCTCATTGATTTTTATTTTTAACTGTTTTAAATTCATTTTAAATCAATTTCTAATCATTTTAAAAGTTTTTAAACTCCTTGTTTTATTGTTGTGGTTATTGTCTTATGATTATTTTACTTCCTTTTATGTAAAGCACTTTGAATTACCATTGTGTATGAAATGTGCTATATGAATAAACTTGCCTTTCCTAGAACATAGTTATAATATATTTTAAAAATCCACTTTTAAGCAATGCAGTTATAAAACACTTCATCTGACTACTAATTAGTGTACTTATATTTAGTGTACTTAAGTAGCACAGCTGGGAAAATGTACTTATGACTATTACATTACTAAGATATTTTAAATATATAATCAATTTAAACCGTGTTAAAAGTGTACTAACATTGAATACATTTTTTAATTAGTCAAAGCACACTTTTAAGAAATAGACTAATAAAAGCCTTCTGTATATTTTTGGGGTAGTCTACTTTATTTCAATGCACTAAAAATCAATTTAAGTATCAGTGGTATTTAGTATACTTTTGCAATCTCACTGAAGTAGAAACATACTTTTAATTAGTGTATTTATAGCATATACCTTTTACATTATTTTATTTAGCACAAAAGAATGTGCTACAAATCTGCTTGCTTGTATTTAAGTATTTTTTTAGTGCGGTCAAGTACACTATTATTACCTGGGGTAATAATACACTTGTTTTTAATTGATTACATTAACATCAGGCTGCTTTTATCCTTACACTCTGGAGCTGGTTACAATTCGGGCCATTCGCACCCAAGTGGTTCAGTGCTTCAGATGTTCTCATTTTTAGGGTTAAAAGTGTTTTTTGCATGTCTACAGATGCCTTCATTGATTTATTAAAAATGTGTGTAGCCTCAGACGAAATAAATCCTGCCATCAGTGAGACGTGTTTTAACCTGCTGGAACTGAACTGAATCCACATTAAACCAGCTCCCGCTGAATAATCTCACTACTGTTTTCAGTAGAGCTGCGTAATCGCTAAACTGAACTCGTTTCATCGTGAACTTCAATAATGACACTATTGTCTTGCTGCAGCTGCATTAGAGCAGAATTAGGATTTGAAGTTTGCATCACTGATTCAGTTACTTCCCTGAAAGATCTCTACTGTATAAAGCACTATAAAAATAAAAGAGACTTGAATAATGCAATTTTTTTTTCCAATGCTCTGAATGTAAAATCATTCATGTCAAATCTTGTGTCTCCACTGTTCACAGAACAATTGTTCACTTTTTCTAAATTCTTCTACTCACCCTCAAGACATTCAAGATGTGGATGAGTTTCAGATTTGGAGAAATGTAGCATTGCATCACTTGCTCAGCAATGGATCCTATGCAGTGAATGGGCGCCGTCAGGATGAAACTCTTTAAAAACAAACTTTATTGGATTTGTTTCAGCTCAAGATGTTAACTGATGGACTGGAGTGCTGTGGATTACTTGTGGATTACTGTGATGTTTTTATCAGCTGTTTGGACTCTCATTCTGACGGCACCCATTCACTGCAGAGCAAGTGATGCAATGCTACATTCCTCCAAATCTGTTCTGATGAAGAAACCTCTCGATCTTGAAAGACTTGCCCTGAGGGTGAGTTAGTTTTCATTTTTGGCTGAACTATTCCTTTAATCACATTGACAATGTAACAATGTAACCTGGAAAATATTTTAAAATGAATTCAATTAATCAATTCTGACTGAAGATGGTTTTAAACATATTGACAAGTGATACATTTCTCCACTGGACAAGCTTTAGCATGCAAAACTTCATTTGCTGAAAGACGGTACATGCATTAATAATTTAGAAGCAAAACTTTGTGGTTTACTAGTTAACAGTTGTCAACTCTCGTCGTCTATTGTCAGATACAGAGCGGTGCTCTTTGGAAGTCGCAGTTGCTGCACTAGATCAGTTTCATTGAATTCTGAAACACTTGGTATACACATTTACTGCAAACCATGTGCGCTTTATTAAAGCAAACAGCACTAAACTAACTCAGCCACAGTCTACAGAACAATAACCAAAGTAATGTGAAATTCAAGTATAAAATATTATTTAAACAAATTATACTTTTTTGTTTGGGTTTTGGGTTACAAAAGAAAAAACGAAGACAGTTGTATAGAATACAAGGGAGGTTTGGTTTGATCATTTTTATCCATTGTAAAAATGAGAGTTGTGAAAATAAATCATTCCAATGTTTTTATAGGTGTGTGCAACAGTTCAGATTTTATCAATACTTAATATCCAAGCGCAGACAGTACATATTTAATATAGCCACACAGTCATTTTAGATGTTAAATTCTCATGCAACTTTCATTGGAAGTGCTTTACTTTAACCCAGATTTCTGTGGTTTTGACCCTGTTGCAATACATTTAATCATTGAGACAAAACTTGCATTGAACCTGGAATACTGTAACGCATTGTGACATTATTGTAAAGATGGGAACTGAGCTGTACTCAAACAAAAGCTGAAAAAAAAAGTGGTTTTCTGAAACGATAAACTTTTCTTCTTTTAAATCCTCCAAAAATTAGCCCCATTTACTTTCATTGGAAGTCTTTTACTTGTTGATTTTTTTATTATGATGCTGTCGAGTTGAACTTGTATTGAACTCTGGAATATATACACATGTATTGCAGTGCCATTATAGATGAGCAATATTGAGTTATGTAAGCTGTTTGAAAGGTGAGCACTGGAGCGGTGTTTTGTCGTGACATGTATTGCTGCTGTGAACTGCAAAAAATTCCTTGCGTCATTTGCCGAGTGACAAATTTCTGTCGTACGTTACTCACGGAAATGTAATAAGCACTTCCACATTTTCAAACGGACCTATCATTATCAGGACTTTATCGCTTTTTTATCCTCAGGCACTTCTGCCACAGTCTCATCTCACACTACATTCATTTCAAAGACAGCTTTATACATCTGTGCAACTTCATTCTATTTTTTCTATATATTTTTTTTTATTTCAAATAATAATTCTGTTTTTTGAACTTTTCACAAAAGAATTCCCACAAAAAGTGCATCTTGAGCAGCAAATCAGCACATTAAAACGATTTCTGAAGGATCTTGTGACACTGAAGACTGGAGTGATGGCTGGCTTCAGAAATAAATTATAAAACGGATTACATTTTTATTATTTTAAATTGTAATAATATTCCACAGTTCTACTGTTTTTTGATTTTTGATCAAATAAATGCAGCCTTGTTAAGAGAAAGAAAAAACATCTTACCAACCACAAATCTTCTAAAAATAAAGCAAATTAAAGCAATAAGCCCCGTGAAGCCGTGGTTTACAGTGAATTTATAACAGCTAAGAGGCATTGTTAGACACGACGTGAAGCGGAGTTTTACAACAGCTTCGAAACGGCTCAGCCAATCAGAATCAAGCACCGGAACTCTCCGCTTTATAAATGCGAGTTTTTGTTATATTTTACACAGTGGCTCCTGAAGATCTTGTATTTCATCTTCCTGCAGATAAGATGCTCTATCGATGTCTTGAAGAGTGTTTAACAGGCAACAACACTGGACCAAAAAACAAACAAAACATTTGTGTTCTAAAGAAAAAAGTCAGACTGACATGGGAGTGAATAAATAACTATGGATTTTCTCGTTTGGTTAAAATATCCCTTCAAATCATCAGTTTACTGGACCTAATGTCCTGTGCATGCAAGAGTTCTCCCAGAAACAATCAAGACATTCCACCCACCGCTTGTTTTGACCAGCCTGGGAAAATGCATCCCTCCCATTCCTGAAGTTTAATGACCGTAGCTGAAGAACTTCTTACTAACCTCAAACTGCTTGCCAATAAACATTTCAAGATTTAATAAACAATGAAGACTGTAGATGAAGTCATATTACATAACACCAATGGGAAATGATCTAAAAACAGAGCTCAGAGCATGCAAAGATTCATAAAATGTTTGTTCGCTCATTCGCTCAGAAAGCAGTCTTATCAATAACTCTCCACTTTCAATGGAACAAAATTACAGCAACACTGACTCAAATATGCTTTAATAAGATTAATGCAGAGACTGAGTCTAATTCATAAATTATAACTAAAGTTTTAAAGATAAGTTAGACGTCGTGTCAAGTCTTTTGCAGCACATTTAGACAAAACCATCATCTTATTTGTACATACAGCAGTGCTGCATAACAATGAAGGTATGAACCAATCAGGTAACATACAGAAATCTGCTGCTAATATTTTACAGAGAAATAGTGAATGCAGAATGAAAACGATTAAAACGATTGCTTCCAGGTGGGACCTGAAGGTCAGAGCGTGCTGATTAACACCATCACGTTTCTTCCTCCTCTGGATAAACAAGCGTAATGTGAACGCGGTCTGTCAGCGCTTCGTTCTCACGGTACACATACACAGAAGAGCTGTGACCTTTGACCTCTTCCTGACGCTCACCTGCAAGCTCACAGAGAGAGGTCACACAGGGCTCATGCTCCTGCAAAGCTGTGGGATAACGCCGAGCGCTTCTCTCGATCCGCACCGAGCGGCGCACCGGGGTGAAGAAGCGGATCTCATGACCGTCCACTTGCCCTGCTTCTGCTCCTCGCTGACTCCTTTTGCCCCTAAAACATGAGAGAGCATGATCAGATAACATCACCGCAGTGACCGCAGCCAAAACAACTCACAATCAGCCTGGCAACTGAAAAATGTTCATTTCAGATGCAGGTCATTTGACACTGTGCCACTGAGATGCCCGGGGAAAAGATGTCCCGATTAACCTGAACGCGCCTAAATTATTAGTCCAGACTTTTTTCGATGCAATTTTTCATATGCATTTATTCGTATTCATCATCCAAACCTTGCACACATCAAAGCACTTCTCAAAATGCTTGCTTGCTATAGATGCGAAAAATGAAGAAAATAGAACCCGAGCCGAATTTTTTTTTTTATGATGCACAAAAGTTCCGGAGGCAGTGTAAACGTGATGGACACAACGTGAGGTCGTGTTTATTTCTTAACATGCAAAAAATAATAATTTAAAAAAATCTGATTTGGTGTGCAAGGACTTTAAAGGGGTCATATGATGCGATTTCAATTCTTCCTTTCTCTTTGGAGTGTTACAAGCTCTTGGTGCATAAAGAAGATCTGTAAAGTTGCAAAGACTAAAGTCTCAAATCCAAAGAGATATTCTTTATAAAAGTTAAGAGTCAACCACGTCTACCTAAAACGGCTCGTTCTAACACGACCCCACATGTCTACGTCACGATGTGGGAAGATTTTAGTTTAGTAAAAAAAAGTACTGTTTAAAAAAAATGATGTTTAAAATAATGCTTATAAACCATATATAATTAATCAAGTTGCTTAAACAATTAGAGACAAAACAGCATCATGTATGAATGTATAGTTTAATACAAAGGACCGAAAACCAATCACAAAGAGTGCTTTTTCATTTAAAAACATAAGATGCAGTGGGATGGGAAAAACCGCCATAAAGTCTCGAGACATTTTTTTTTTAAAGTTGAATTTGCATTAATTTTTCATGGCTTTCTAAACATGCGGCTCTTTTGTGCGAGACACGAGTGCAACGCTGATAGATGTCCTTCTAGAAAATGCAGTAAATGTGTTCTGTGTGAACGGCTTGGTTTCAGTTTTGACGTAAACAACAACATCTCCACATTGATGTTCTCTTTTTCCACAATATTTGTAATGAACAACACAGCAGCGTTGCATCTAGTGGCTTCAGCTGGATAGACTAACAAAAGCATTCAAATGCAACCACACTTACATCGTCATCGCGTCTATGTCCACTGATAAAGCTGCCTGACGCACGCCTAACATTCAAATGTGGATTTATATTTTAAATTGGACGAATATTTGAAAATCGCTTTTTTTTTTGACAGCCCTAGTAAGTGTGCAGGTGTCTCACCCTGGGGTCGCTGTGATTTTATACTTGACGACAGACGAGTCTCCCCTCGCTCCAGATATGAGGGCACTGATGGGTTTTGGGGTGTGCTCTTCATCACACGCTCCAGTCTCTTCTGCTTCACACTCTTTTGGCATCAGAGACAAACCTGAATGATTTAAACTTGTTTTTATTATTAGGTTAGCTTGAGAAATCATGCCAGCAGCATGCTAACAACATGCTAGAAACATGCTAACGGCATGCTAGAAACATGCTAACAACATGCTAATCATGCTAGTGACATACTAGTCACTTGCCAATCATGTTAGCAACATGCTAGTAACTAGCTAATCATGCTAGCAACATGCTAATCATGCCAGCAATATGCTAGTAGCTTGTTTTTATTATTAGGTTGGCTTGAGAAATCATGCTAGCAACATGCTAGTAGCATGTTAACAACATGCTAATCACTTGTTAATCATGCTAGCGACATGCTAGTCACTCGTTAATCATGCTAGCGACATGCTAGTCACTTGTTAATAATGTTAACAACATGCTAGTAGAATGCTAATCATGCTAGCGACATGCTAGTAGAATGCTAATCATGCTAGCAGCATGCTAATCATGCTAGCAACTTGCTAGTAGCATGCTAATCATGCTAACATCATGTTAACAACATGCTAGTCACTTGCTAATCATGCTAACACGCTAGTAGCATGCTAATCAAATGCTAGCGACATGCTAGTAACTTGTTAATAATGCTAGTCACTTGCTTATCATGCTAGCAACATGCTAGTCACTTGCTAATAATGCTAACACGCTAGTAGCATGCTAATCACATGCTAGCGAAATGCTAGTAACTTGTTAATAATGCTAGTCACTTGCTTATCATGCTAGCAACATGCTAGTCACTTGCTAATAATGCTAACACGCTAGTAGCATGCTAATCACATGCTAGCGAAATGCTAGTAACTTGTTAATAATGCTAGTCACTTGCTTATCATGCTAGCAACATGCTAGTCACTTGCTAATAATGCTAACACGCTAGTAGCATGCTAATCACATGCTAGCGAAATGCTAGTAACTTGTTAATAATGCTAGTCACTTGCTTATCATGCTAGCAACATGCTAGTAACATGCTAATCATGCTAACGTCATGCTAGTAGCATGCTAATCACATGCTAATAATGCTAGCGACATACTAGTCACTTGCTAATCATGCTAGCAAAACATGCTAGTTACTTGTTAATCATGCTAGCAACATGCCAATCATGCCAGCAATATGCTAGTAACAGGCCAATCATGTTAAAAACGTGCTAATCCTCCTAGAAAAATGTTATCTAATCTATCTAAATTTTCAAACTTCAGGCTTTTACAGCTACTTTAAACTTTCAGGCTAGGCTTTCTCAAGCCAACCTAAAGTTTGTCTTGACAAACTTTATCTAGTTATTTATTTTATTATTATTAATAACTTGATTCTTTTTTTGTGTTTTTAAAAGACGTCACTTATGCTCACCAACGCTGAATTTATTTAATTAAAAAATACACTAAAAACAGTAATATTCAGAAACAATTTTTTTTAAATTACATTTTAAAATGTAATTTATTCCTGTGATGGCATTCTAATCATCCTAATATTCTGATTTAATGCTCAACAATCAATGTTGAAAACAGTTGTGCTGCTTAAGATATTTGTGAGAATTTACTTTTTTTTCAGGATTATTTGATGAATAGAAAGGTCCAAATTACAGCATTTATTTGAAAACTTTTGTAACATTATAAATATCTTTATCGTCACTTTTGATCAGTTAAATGCATTCTTATATATCTTTTTGAATGGCATCACATCATGTCAAAATTATCAAGCAGCAATAATCAGAAATGTTTCTTGAGCAGCAAATCAGCATATTATACTGATTTCTGAAGATCATGTGACACTGAAGACTGGAGTAATGATGCTGAAAATACAGCTGCGCATCACAGAAATACATTACAGTTTAACAGATATTCAAGTAGAAAATGGTTATTTTTTTAATTGTAGTAATGTTTTATTAAACACTGTATTTTTTATAAAATGCAGCCTTCGTTGAACATAAGAGACATCTATCAACTATATTAAAAAGTATGAATTTCAAACCAGCAGTGTAAAACTAAAAATCACTGCCATATAGTTTGTTAAAAGTCATTGCTAAAAAAATGTAGTGTACGCCACTGGATGACGAAAATATTGAATGCCTTTACCTTGAATCTGTCTCTTTTTAAGGATCTCAAAAACCACAGATCGTAGCTCATCCACTGGCTGTTAAGAAACATATCGCAATAAGTGAAAACAGATTGGTTACTCATAAGCTGTGAGATATTTGGATTTAATTTTACACACGCACTAAAGTAAGTCATCTGCTGCTACTGTAAGCTCTTGCCTAAGAAGTGGAATTAGCTTACATCCTAAGAAAAAAACAACAACAGCTGTATCATAACAGTAAAAAAACAATGCTGCCAAACGATTAATCGCATCCAAAATAAGTTTTTGTTTACATAATGTCAATAATATATGATTGACAATTATATAACTGTCAATAATACATAATATTGTTTACACACAGTACGTGTGTGTATGGTGTATATTTATTATGTACATAATCACACACACACTCGTATATATTTAAGAAAAATAGATTATGTTTATGTATTAACTATATTTTTATATAATATAAATAGTGCTGTCAAACGATTAATCGCATCCAAAATAAATGTTTTTGTTTACATGTGTGTGTGTTGTGTATATTTATTATGTATATATAAATACACACACATGCATGTATATATTTCAGAAAAATATGTTGTTTATATATTAAATATATTTATAATATAAATTATATGAATATAAATATTTTCAAAATATATACTATGCGTGTTTGTATTTATATATACATAATAAATATACACAGAACACATATATTATGCAAAAAAAATTTTTTTTTGCAAAAAACATTTTGTATGCAATTAATCGCGATTAATCGTTTAACAGCACTAATGAATATAAAAATATATACGTAAATATTTTCAAAATATATATTGTATGTGTGTGTATTTATAGAAACGTGTGTATTTATTATGCACACACACTTTATGTAAACAAACTTTTGTTTTGAATGCTATTAATCGTTTGACAGCACTTTGAAAAACTAAATTAAAATCAATAAAAACATAACATTTACTCTTAAATTATTATTTTTAAATAAAACATGGTAACACATCATAACATTTAATATAATTGATAATAAAAAAAACAAAGGCCTGGTTTCACAGACGGGGCTTAGGCTAAGCCAGGATTAGATCATAGTTCAATTAAGACATTTAAGCAATTTTTATAAACATGCTTAGAAAAAAACATTTCTGGTGTGCATCTTGAGCCAAAACAAAGGCACTGGTATATTTTACGATCAGTCAGTGCAAGTTTCTTTCAGTTGAAACAGCTCAGACTTACATTTTAGTCTGGGACTAGGCTTAAGCCTTGTCTGTGAAACCGGGGGAAAGTCTAATAACTCTTCTGAGGCTTCTCGGATTTCCAGACTAAAACGAAGCAAATGAGGAAATAACATCAACGGAAGAAAACACGTATTTGTAAGAGATAAAGAGAGACTGACCTCTCTCACCACACGGATGGCCTCCTGAAACATGGGCAGCACCTCCAGGTTTCCCGCTCTTTCCATTAGTCTCGCCTGGCAGATCCAGTATTTAGCAAACTTCTGTGCCATTGGCACCCGAGACAGCACATCTCTGACCCGCTCCGCTGGGAAACCCTGTCAACAGCATCAGATCAGTGAGCACCAGAGAGAGGGAAGCATCATCCCGACCTAAAAAACGTTCTGGAGTAAAATGCAACATGTGCTGTACAGCTCCAGAAAAGCTTAAAAGTAGGGATGTAACGATTCACTCAACTCACTATTTTTTTTTTTTACAAAATGAGATTTAAGACAAATTATAAATTAAATGTGTCCTTTTATTGCTTGGACAAAATTCTGCTCGTTTCTTTGTGAAATTGAAATATAACACTATAATAATGTACTAATATAGCACTATGTTGTTTATATATTAAATATATTTATAATATAAATTATATGAATATAAATATTTTCAAAATATATACTATGCGTGTTTGTATTTATATATACATAATAAATATACACAGAACACATATATTATGCAAAAAAAATTTTTTTTTGCAAAAAACATTTTGTATGCAATTAATCGCGATTAATCGTTTAACAGCACTAATGAATATAAAAATATATACGTAAATATTTTCAAAATATATATTGTATGTGTGTGTATTTATAGAAACGTGTGTATTTATTATGCACACACACTTTATGTAAACAAACTTTTGTTTTGAATGCTATTAATCGTTTGACAGCACTTTGAAAAACTAAATTAAAATCAATAAAAACATAACATTTACTCTTAAATTATTATTTTTAAATAAAACATGGTAACACATCATAACATTTAATATAATTGATAATAAAAAAAACAAAGGCCTGGTTTCACAGACGGGGCTTAGGCTAAGCCAGGATTAGATCATAGTTCAATTAAGACATTTAAGCAATTTTTATAAACATGCTTAGAAAAAAACATTTCTGGTGTGCATCTTGAGCCAAAACAAAGGCACTGGTATATTTTACGATCAGTCAGTGCAAGTTTCTTTCAGTTGAAACAGCTCAGACTTACATTTTAGTCTGGGACTAGGCTTAAGCCTTGTCTGTGAAACCGGGGGAAAGTCTAATAACTCTTCTGAGGCTTCTCGGATTTCCAGACTAAAACGAAGCAAATGAGGAAATAACATCAACGGAAGAAAACACGTATTTGTAAGAGATAAAGAGAGACTGACCTCTCTCACCACACGGATGGCCTCCTGAAACATGGGCAGCACCTCCAGGTTTCCCGCTCTTTCCATTAGTCTCGCCTGGCAGATCCAGTATTTAGCAAACTTCTGTGCCATTGGCACCCGAGACAGCACATCTCTGACCCGCTCCGCTGGGAAACCCTGTCAACAGCATCAGATCAGTGAGCACCAGAGAGAGGGAAGCATCATCCCGACCTAAAAAACGTTCTGGAGTAAAATGCAACATGTGCTGTACAGCTCCAGAAAAGCTTAAAAGTAGGGATGTAACGATTCACTCAACTCACTATTTTTTTTTTTTACAAAATGAGATTTAAGACAAATTATAAATTAAATGTGTCCTTTTATTGCTTGGACAAAATTCTGCTCGTTTCTTTGTGAAATTGAAATATAACAATTGTCACATATCTGAATCGATTTTCAACCGGCTCGCGGTTAATTGTTACATCCCTACTACTTAAAAGGATAGTTCACCCAAAAATGAAAATATTCTCATCATTTATTCAACCTCAGGTTGTTGCAAACCTGCATGAATTTGTTTTCTGTTGAACACAACAGAAGATTTTTTGAAGAATGCGGGAAACCAGTTTTTGGTCCCCACTGACCCCACCTTTTTTCTCCATACTATGTAGGTACCATGCACCATTTGGTTACCCAGATTCTATCATAAGCTCAGAGTGGTCAGACTGGTGGAAAAGGCTTGTAAACATCATAGTCGATTAATGCCAGAAAATGGCAAACACCTGAGATCGGCTCAACAAAACCTGGATAAGCAAACACTGCGATTAGGGATAAGGGAACAATACGGACAAATGTTGAATGTTGGTTTGAGAACGCTTTATCTGAAAGAATTACATCTTGCCTAACAAAGTTGAGAGGGGATTTTTCCCATGGTACAGCAGATCACATATGTGATCGATACTGAAATTCAGAATCCAGTCATTTCTAGTCTAGACAATGATTATTGACTCAGAGGGCTATAAAATTGGAAAGACGTCAACATACTCCAACCTTCTGCAGTCATGATTTCCTAATGCTCTAATCGGTCCACCGATGAAGTATGAACACATTTGTTTTAGGAAAGTCAATAGGCTTCAATTGTGAGATTAGGATTATTACTGGAGTTTAACATTTTTACCAACTGCGTTTCATTTGGGCATGTGTTTTATGAATGCCTACTTATGCTCTAATAAGGCATATATTTACAAACACACACACTGTATTAAACCATTTAACCAAAATGTATATTGTGTGTGTATATTACCATGTTTTAAAATGAATATCAAAAGTCATAAAGGTAGGTTACATTATGAAGGCTGGTGTTAATCATTGCTCTTCGTTGACCAAAGTTCTTTATTTGCTTTTGATTGCCTTTTCTATGCCCTTTTGTTTTTTCCAGTATATTAACCAACATCTGTCTTCAATTGTAAATCCAAAGCACAATCACCTATGACCACACACAATACAAAAAAATAACTCAAGTTATTCACTAACTTACTTGCACAATGTCTTGACCAGGGAAATGATATTTGATTATTAGCAGCTGTGTGAAGCTGGTTCAAACAGAAACTCATATTTACATGGAAGAGTCTGCTTTGTTGCAATGTCTCTGGTTACGCACATTCATTTAATTACGCATTAAAAAAAAAAAAAACACCTCATACAATAACATGAATGATACCTGCTGTAATAATTGAATGCAGTCATCCAGCGATCGGTCCACAGCAAAGACAACGTCATGAACCTCATCTTCATTCTCCATAGAAGTCCAGTACGGCTGAGGAAGCGCAGAAACCGTCTTCCTCCTCACCAGATGAACAGGCATGGGGGGGCGTTTATAAGTGATGCCCCTCGAGTCCCTCCACTCCTGGAGCTTACGCCTGCACACACAGCACTTTCTTCATATTCTGTGTGGTGGTCAGTTCACAGCTGTGATAGAAATTAATCTTTTCAAATAGGCTAAGTTTAAAGGGGTCATATGATGCGATTTCAAGTGTTCCTTTCTCTTTGGAGTGTTACAAGCTCTTGGTGCATAAAGAAGATCTGTAAAGTTGCAAAGACTAAAGTCTCAAATCCAAAGAGATATTCTTTATAAAAGTTAAGAGTCAGCCACGCCTACCTAAAACAGCTCGTTCTAACACACCCCCACATATCTACCTCACTATGTGGGAAGATTTGCATAACGCCGCCCAAATGTTCACGCAAAGAAAGAA